TGTTGGTGGCCCCTCAGCAAAGCCACAGAACCACAGGCGAAGTTCAGAGAGAGCCAGGACCCTGGGGTGGGAATGCACAGTTAGACCACAGAGGGGCTGAGCCAAATGCCAGGAGGAGCCCGCAGGTGGACGGCAGCAGCTGGGAAAACACAAACCAACGGGCAGGAACTTACCTTGAAGAGCAGCCATCCCAGCAACTTCTGCACCAGACGTGTGCCCCAGAAGACGTGTCTGTAGAGGTCCGTGTTGACCACCCCGGGGTCCACCACATTGGCCGTCACGTGACTCCCCTCAGCGGCCAGAAGCCGCTGGAGATGGTAAGAGAAGAAGACCAGGGCCAGCTTGCTCTGCGCGTAGGCCCCGTGGGGCGAGTAGTTCTTTCTGCAGACAGAGCAGTACAGGGGTGAGAGGCTGCTGGCACTGCTGACCTCACTCTCTGCCCTGCCCAGCACCTGTGCCCTGAGCTGCCTCTAGCCACACCGTCTACCCACACTCCCTCACCAGTGGACTGCACTGCAGTCTGTTCTCCAGTTTCCCCATGCCTGGGGATTTTTCTAGTTCATCTTTTGATGGCAAACTGGCCACTTCATTGCATAGAGGCCTTGGGTTCCATGACTCTGGCTGTGTAATCCATCCAAGCTTCTATCACGACTGAGGAATGAGCACTCTGAATTGCCAGGGCTTGGAAACATCCTAAATGTCCATCACCCCATGAATGGAGGAATAAAGTGTCGTATGTGTACACCATGGAGTACTATTCAGCCATGAAAAAGATGGAGATTGATGTCTTTTGTGTATTAATCTGCATGGAGTTGCAACACATCCTGTTTAGTGAAGTATCAAGAACGGAGAAGCAAGTATCCAATGTACTCAATTCTGACATGAAATCAGTATATAAACAGCTACATGCCCACAGGAGAGAAACACACAAGTTTAGTGTATAAGGGGAAAGGGGAGGAGGGAGGGTGATAGGCAGAGTCTCAGCTGATGTGCACAAGGTGAGGGTGTTCAGCACAGCCCCTGGGTGAAGGGCTCAACTACAACTTGAACTCTACCTTACAAGTGAAAACAACGTAACCTAAACTTTTGTACTCTCGTATCAATCTGAAATAAATAAAATAAAATAAATAAAATCCCTTAAAGGCATAAATAACTCAAACAGGGACAAACAAAATATGGTTCATCGGCAGGATGGAATATTATTCAGCCCCGAAAAGGAACGAGGGACAGACACACACTACAAAGTGGGTGAATCTTAAAGACGTGTCCAGTGAAAAAACAAAGACACAGGAAGACCGACAGTGTAGGATGCCATTTATGCAAAATCTCCAGAACAGGCAAATCTAGAGAATCAGCACGCCAAAGGGAAGATGTCAGAAGCAACTTCAGAGGCACAAGTTTCCTTGTGCCCCCCCCTCCGTCTCTGTCCCTTTTTCCCCCGAGTTGATGCATAGAAACTAGAAACTTTCCACCCCAAGGCAGGTCACACAAACCAGAGCCCCCTTTGCTTTGGACTGTAGGTCATGAGTAGGGTGACCAGATTTTAACATCGGTAAGGCGGGACAACATGGCCGGGGGCAGGGCGGGACAAGGGACAGGGCAGGGCAGGGCCTGACAACAGTGCAAACTTTGATAAGCAGTTCTCGATAATCACTTCTCAGCAATTATTTGTTATTGTTACAGTTTAACATTATAAAATTAACAAAAATAATATAAAACTCATATTCTGGCGAAATAGTCACACAGCAGCCGAAAACCATATATTCCCTTCCTGTTCTCCCGCCCATTCGTGCATTCTTTCCAAAAATCGGGACTTTTTTAAAACGCTGTGGGACGTGGGACAAATTGTTCAAAAGCGGACATCTGGTCACCCTAGTCATGAGGCCCCCCCATTCCAGAGGGTCCCTCCCTGCACCCAGGAGGGAGGACGCTGCTCAAAGGGGCAGAGAGGAATCCAGACAGACCGGCCTTGCTGGGTCTCCCACCTGGTCTCTTAACAACAGAACACGGACTTCTTGTTGAATCTTATTTCTACACGGCTTCTCATGGTTTCTCAAACCTGAGCATAAAAATGAACAGTTTGGGGTGGTGCCTGTGGCTCAAAGGAGTAGGGCGCCAGCCCCATATACCAGAGGTGGTAGATAGTAGATTCAAACCTGGCCCTGGCCAAAAACTGCAAAAAAAACAAAAAAGAACAGTTTGCTTTGTGACTTGCCTGAGTGAGAGTGAGGCCCCGACTCCTCAAAAAATGGAAAAACCCAGGCTCAGTGCCTGCTGCACAGTGGTTATGGCGCTAGCCACATACACCAAGGGTGGTGGGTTCGAACCCAGCCCAGGCCAACTAAACCAATGCAACAAAAAAGTAGCCAGAAGTTGTGGCGAGTGACTGCAGTCCCAGCTACTTGGGAGGCCGAGGCAAGAGAATCGCTTAAGCCCAAGAGTTGGAGGTTGCTGAGACCTGTGACGCCATGGCACTCTACCGACAGTGACATAAGGAGACTCTGTCTTAAAGAAAAAAAAAAAAACCCAGCCCAGGTGCCATGGCAAGCACCTATAATCCCAGCAGCTTCTGGAGGCTGAGGCAGCAGGATGCCCACAGGCCGAGTCTGAGGTTGCAGGGAGCTGTGATGCCATTGCACTCTGCTCAGGGCATAGGGTGGGACTGTCTCAACAACAACAACAACAAAATGAGCAGTTTGCCTGCATTTCTGGGTCTCCATTCTGAAGCCTCCCACGGGCATATGGTTAAATAAATTTCTGTGTGTTTTTTCTTATTAATTTGCCTCTTGTCAGTAATTTTCATCCAACCTTCAGCAGCTAGGAGAACTTTCCTCCTGACTCCTGCAGGATGAAACTTTAATTTCTCGATGACAGTCATTTTCATTGCTGTGGCTCCCTACTGTGTGGTGAGAGGGTCAAGGTGTGCCGATAAAATTTTTAAACATCATTAATTACATTATTTTTGAAAGAAGTTCAAAGCACAGTAAGTATATTCTTTTTTTTTTAAACTTTTTTTCATTGATATAATTTAAATATGCCGTGGAAGTTTAACAATAGATTCAAGTGTGCTGTGAGATACAACAGGTTGGACAACACTGGGAAGGAAGGAAGGAAGGAGGGAGCGAGGGAGGGAAGGAAGGAGGGGTAGAAAGAGAAAAAGAGAGAAGGAAGGAAGGAAGGAAGGAAGGAAAGATGGAAGGGAGGGAGGGA